GAGTGGACCGATATATTCCATCTTAACACCAGACCTTGGGTTAATATAAACATTGGAATGTGTGAAATTTGAAGACAATCGGACTCTTACATCACATTTTATAGGAGTTGTAATTATTCAAAATTTTTGACTCTTTGAGGGGGAGGTGCTGATGGAATGGACCGATATTGACCGAGTGCTCGACAAGAGTGGAAATCTGCTAAATTTCTTGCAAATTTTTGTGTAAAAAAATTAAAATTTCAAGTTGCTGTCTTGTTTTTACATGAAAGCTGGACTCTACAAGAAATTGCATTGAATAAAACCAATCGAAGGAATTAATTCCCTCCGATAGGCATGGCATTTTACATAAAATATTTACAATTTAAATGAATATTCTCAAGTCGATGATGGCTGGAGGCTAGCAGTAAATCAAGCTCCTTACTCCTTCGTTGTGTTCTTGTACAACGCTTAATTGTTGAAGACATTTTAATTGTTATGTTTGTCGATTTGTTAATGTTTAATTCATTTGATGGATCTATTATCTTCTACATACAACAAACATGCGCACATATGTACATACGTACAAATATGGCAAATAAATCATTTACAGTCCTCAGAGTCAATTTATTGCCAAGACTTGGACGATGAAGGAGAGGAAGAAGAAGGGATACCACTTACTTGGGCCATGAGCAGCGAACTGGGAAGCACACACACAACCCATGACACAAATGACAAATAACAATGCGCCGCAAGTAATGGGAATATCCCACTTCTCTTCCTCCTCCTCCTCCTCCTGGTGGATAAACGATTTTCTCTTGAATCACCAGCAGCATCGACTTTTGGGGCTATCTTTGTTAAGAAGAAAAAAAAAATAATAATAATAAAAACTAGAAAAAATTCCAATGTCATTTAAGAGATTTTGTTGTGTGCGTGCGTGCGAAAGTGATATCCATCCGACCGCAGTCTTCCCAAGAATTCAAATGTTCTCATTAAAACAACAAATCAGCAGTTCAATGAATGAAACCTTGTACCACATTAGGGTGAAGGCGAATTTGATGTATCATTCTGGACAGATAATACCTCTTAATAGTACTCCCATTATGGCAATAGATAATGCCATTAACAAGGAGCTGTTATCACACTTTGAATGCACTCTGAATGGAAACGACAGACTAAAAAAGCCCAGGTATTAAACAACACAACAGCACCTTGTCTGCAGCAGCGCCTGGTATATCTTGCCGCCGCCGGGCCAACTTTACAACCGAATGTTTCCAGTCATTTGTAAATAGTAGTAAAGTACGCGTGATTGTAATAAATCGAAAAAGAAATTTACACAAAGAAAACAAAAACAAGAGGCAAGCCATACAAAACAACTGTGGAGTGGACGATTCAAGTCGCCCAAGCTAAACGCTACCACAAAGAATATAAAACAATAATTGCTTAAACATTGTTTGCAACTGTAACAAACTGAACGACTAGAAATCAATTACGGAAAGACAATATTCCATCGCCGTCTTAAGGTAAACATATTCCAAGTAAAGAATATAAAGAATCAGACATTTCTTGGAATCGGAATGGCTTCGACATGGGCATCGATAGAAGGAATTGCTGTCCGCCCTATGTAAATCAAACAAAACACAGGCTTTCATTGGCCCAGGCAGCTTAGCTTATTGTCATCCGCATCGACAATGTCACGTACATAGTTGTTCACAATGCCACCGTGCAAACACTGACAATGTACACCATTCATAAACTTATCTTCATTACAGGTTATGTGAAAACTACACTACACGAGGAGGTTTTTATTGTTGCAGTACAGACGACTTCGGATAACAGCAATTAGGAACAAATAAAATAGTATCAGTCCGTTTTGCCGACAGATGTATACCCCCAGCCTTGAGTTATAATTATTCAAACTGTTGGCCATTTATGGGGGAGGTTCCGAAGAAGTTGGCCAATATTGACCAATTCGCATCTGACCTAAGACTGATATAAATATTACAACGTGCCAGATTTGGACTATATCAACTACTTCCTATATTTTATATGATATATGTGCAAATTTTTGGAAATTGTGGAAATATGCGTGTGGCACCAGATATTGTCGACTGAAGTATTCCATTTTCATACTTCATCTAATACAGATAAAATATTAGTATATTCAAAATTTGAAAGTAATCGAATATTTATATTCAATTTTATGCGAAATCATACATTTCGATTAAATACATATGGATATCAGATTTCTGGTTAGGAAAAATATAAAGTTGTAATGAATCGCCGACTTGTTTTGCAAGCTGTGACTCTTAGTGGGTTAGGTACCAGAAGGGGTTCGCAGATATATATCATATTCACAACAGATACTGCGTTAGCAAAAGTATTTCAATGTGTGAAATTTGAATTTGAATGCTTATTTCGCTGCTTATATACCTTTGTGGGAGAGGTACCAGAAGGAGTGGACCGTTAAATCCCATCTTCACGCCAGACCTTGGGTTACAAAAAATATTGTGATGTGTGTAATTTGAAGAGAACCTGAAGCTTATTTCGCGTTTTTATGATAGTTTTTGTTATTCAAAACTTTCAGCCTTTGTGGGGAAGGTACCAGAAGGAATGGTCCGATCTCTACCATATTTATAACAGATCTTGTTTTGATGGAATTAATTAATTTCCCGTTTTATGGACTTCATTGATACTGAAAATTTTGACCCTTTGTGGGGGAGGCAGCAGAAGGAGTGGACCAATATATTCCATCTTTACACTAGACGTTGGGTTAATAAAATATTGTGATGTGTGTAATTTGAAGAGAACTGGATGCTCATTTCGGATTTTATGATCGTTTTTGTTATTCCAAACATTGACCCTTTGTGGGGGAGTTACCTGAAGGAATGGTCCGATCTCTACTATCTTAATAACAAACCTTGTTTTGATGGAAATATTGACATGTACCAATTCTGAATGGAATCGGATGTTAATTTCGTGTTTTATGAGTCCCCACTCTTTGTGGGGGAGGTTCAAGAAGAAATGGCCCGATATATCCCATCTTCACTCCAGACCTTGGTTAAATGAAAATATTGTTATGTGTGTAATTTGTAGATTATCGGACTCTTACATCACATTTTATAAGAGTTATAACTATTAAAAATGTTGACCCTTTCTGGGGGAGGTACTTGATGGAATGTACCGATATTGTCCATTTTCGAACCTGGCCTAGCACTGATGCAATTATTAGGTTTTGCAAATTTGAAGCAAAATCGGGTTATCATTTCTTTTTCTGTGCAGTAATTATTTTCTTTGAACTTTTTTACATTTTGTGGGGGAGGTACCAGAAGGAGTTAGCCCATATTGCCCATCTACGAACTCGATCTAGCTTAGACAATAATATTACGATGTACCAAGTTTTGATAATATAGGGTATATATATTATCAAAACTTGGTACATCGTAATATTATTGTCTAAGCTAGATCGAGTTCGTAGATGGGCAATATGGGCTAACTCCTTCTGGTACCTCCCCCACAAAATGTAAAAAAGTTCAAAGAAAATAATTACTGCACAGAAAAAGAAATGATAACCCGATTTTGCTTCAAATTTGCAAAACCTAATATTTGCATCAGTGCTAGGCCAGGTTCGAAAATGGACAATATCGGTACACTCCATCAAGTACCTCCCCCAGAAACGGTCTAGCTATATGACTGATGTATAAAAATATGATAGTACGACAGTGAATGCAAAAGAAACCCACAATTACAAATGTGTTCTCCTTTATAAAATAAAAATTCATTTGGAATTCTTATTCTCAAGCATTCACCTCTTAGCGTCATACAGAAACAGGCGCTGAGACTCAAGCAACTAAAAGCGAAATTGTTTTAGATCCACTTTATTGGAACGGCTAGTCATGTGTCACAATGCTATGCATTTTTTTGGAAGGAGCACCAAAAATGCTCCAAAACCAATTTAGATATTCCACTATATTTCATATATTTGCATATCTGCAATAATTAAAACTTAAAACATCCATGACCATGTTCTGGACAACAGCCACAAAATGAGTTTTTGTGCCCACTGCACTGCAACGGCTAGTAGTACGTCAAATACGACAAAATTCTGGCGGCTTGTCCAAAATAAACATTGTGCAATAGATCAAGTCGATACTGATCACTCACATCAATACCGTTTAATCCAATAAAACATCTTAAAGAGTGAAACTTAATAATAAATTTTGAAACATAAACTCGATAGCAACGTTACGATATCGCCAACAATATCCTGGTGGTGACATAGTATTACAGTAAAGAGCTACGGTTGGTTTGATGGTCTATGAATTTTCTATCCTGTTATAAGTGGCTGGCCTCGAAATCCTCTTCTGGCTATCTCCAAACTGGTACATAATACGCGTTGATGAACTTGTATTGATTTCTATTGAAAATTCCACACGAGAAGGTTACCCTGTGGACAATATCAATGACCTAAAAATCATCCACACTACATAATAAAGCAAACAAAATAGGCATAAAATATTTTCGTCATTATTCACAGGCATCTGCCTCAACACCATCACGTGAATTTGGTTTCATAATTCGCACACACAACTGCCAAACTAAATAGAACTAAGAACATTTATCGTATAAGTGTGTTACAAATTTTTCATTATCAAATATTTTTTCTTACATTATTTCTTTCCAGATGTTACCAATCAAATCTTAAAGCCAGCACACATGCCCTCCATTCAATAGTGACGGGTGAAAGAAAAAAATGGACGAACGGCGTCAATGGAATCAACGTAAACATACTATATGTGGTGTTGGTGGGTGATCGTGATCAACAAATCGTCTTATCTATTATACAGAAAATAATAATTATATCAGTAGCTATAGAAAAATATTTTGAAAATGATGAAATTAGCATCTATGGCATGTGACACAGTATTTTTTGTTGTTTTTTTCTTTTTCATTTTCTTTGTTGGTGTTGGCATTGATCTTTGCCCAAAACGAAGCCAAAAATTTGCCGTTCTGACGTAGATGGCAAAAAGAGGCACGTCTTCGACAAAAACAACGACTACAAGAACAATAACGCAAGAGAGTGTGATGTTCCTTCCACCAACATAACAAAAATTCCATGGCAACAGATGTTGTCTTGTCTGGCTCGGCTGGGGGGGGAGTGGATGGTGGGACACTAAAACACACCAGCAGAGGCAGACAATCTTACTTCTTCGTAGCAACAGACCAGAGCAATGTAAAAAAGAGCAACAGATATCTCCGGAGAACATGCATGCTGCTGAGAAAGTTACAGAGTGTGTGACCAGCCCCAACAGCACCAAACAGTTTAGCCAGAGCCGAACGAAATGAGTATGAGTGATTCTTTTTTGTGTTGTTTTTGCTGTTGTTCATTTTTATTTTTTTGCAAGCGCGTTCGCCAATTGTTTGTGTGGGAAAATATAAGCATGGGTATGGATGGTGAACGCTTCACTATTACTTATCAACTCAAAGTGTGAAAGTCGTTGGCAGTTCTCTGTGGATACCCAGCCGTACAGAGACTTTTTCGGTTTAAGGCCAACTGATCATAAGAAAAACCATACAAAAAAACAAATACAACAAAAAGGAAAACAATGCAACAAACTTAAATAAAAAAACAGAAACACAAGCGAAAATTGAATTGGAACCCGCTTCAAATTTAAAATAAAATCTGGTTTTATATTGGATTGAGTGTCAAATAAATAAAATAAATAAACAAATTATCCTGATCTTGGGTGATATCACCAAAAAAAAAAAAACATAAATAACCATCGAGAAGAAAATCGAACAAGTGATTACCTGTGTGCGTGCGTGTGTGATCTTGAAATAAAAAAAAAAAACAACAACAAAATGTGCCATAATTCCGTGTTGGAAAACGAACAAATCGATAAATGTATCGAAAACGGAATGCCCCAAAAAGTGATCAAAGCTGTCAAATATACCATGAGACGGAGAGCAATTGAAGAAGAGGCTGCAAAAAAACAAATGGATTTTGTAAATAGACAACAACAACAAACGTCAGCAACGCCATCGGGAATATTTCAAATGAAATGTCCTTTCGCCCATGGCCTGTTGTTAAAACCCCAAGGACCGGCAGCAACAAGTGTGACACAACCGCCCACATTTGCCAACAGTCCCGATGCACTCGAATCCCACCCACTGATGCGCCGTCATAGCAATGCCCCAACAAGTAGTACAGAGTCCCTTTCATCTTCCACCGAGGATATCACAAATTTAAATGGTCTTCTAGAACAAATACCTGCAGCAACAGATGGCAACAACGTCTACCAAGATGACATTTTGGCCAAAAGCACTCTCTTAACAAAAAAGCTAGCATTTCACATGCAGCACAAGCTGGCCCGACTACAGAGCAGCAAACTATACACGTGAGTAAACAACATTGTAGCTTTGTTTCCAAACGAAACGAATATTGATACACCTATATAGTTCTTGCACGGCGCGCAAATAGAGCAAGTTCGCTGTCGTATTTCGTAAGCAGCGTGAGGTGTTACTAAGGCGCGAAAATCGCGACATCCAAGACAAAATGACAACAATACTAAAAACCAATTACGTAGATCTGCAGTAAGTAAAGTGACGTCCGAAACTGATAAGCTTTGCACACAAATAGACATACACACCAACTCGGTGCAGTGCAGTGCATTTGGCGTACTTCGTTATTGGGTTCATTTCAATTAACCCATTTGGAAAAGATATGTAGATTATCAATGGCCACAAAGTAGATAAGGGATATGATACATTTAACAAGACCTATTTTTAAAATATTCATTTAAAAATGCCAAGAAATTATTTTACTCATGCCACAGATGGTTTGACTTATGACTGGGAAGTTGTTCTATCTTTAAAAAATCATAAGAAGTGAAATGAATTCAAAGAAGTTCTTTTTTTCAAAATTTATTTATTTTTTGGTTCAGGTTTCTTTTATTGTAATATCTTTTCAAGTTTTCCCTTAACTTATCCTTACTAAACATTCAAAATTTTGCAAGAATCAAGATGGGAGTAGACAAAATACCGAGAAATAGCATGCAATACTGCAGGATTCTAAACTCGTATCCTTCTCAAATAATATTTGTCAATGAATTTTCAATTAAATAAGAAGTAATTGAGTTTAATTAAAAAATCAGAATTGAACTGGACAAAATATTCCGAATTAGGATACAGACTTAGAATATCTAAAAAGTTTCTGCATGTAATGACCAACATGGTCCAACATGGGTTAAATATTTATACGGACTTTGTCATATGCATGTATAGACGTGGTCTGTATTGCAATTAAGTTTTGGCAAAATGGAAATATGTCAATGTTCTTTGAACACTTCTTGGTTGCATTTTTTTCTGTTTAATTTTTCGGTTCGTTGTGCATTGGCTTTTGCATAACCCATTATGCTCTTTAGAAGTAGTCTCCAACCGCAGCATGGATATCTGGTTGCCGACGCCACACAGTTCGCCTTGTCACGCGATTTGTGTTGTATTGAGAGGTGCCGAGTCGAATCGAGCCGAACCGAGCTGCAGCGCCAACACTCAGCCAGATTCTGTTAATGTTCAGAGCTATGCTGTTATGTGTGGCAAGATCGGGGGGCAAGACACAATCATGGCAACACAACACTGTTGCTTTATTGTTGCTTTTATTGTTATTATTATTAGTGGAACCTGGTCGTCGCGTCTGTCGGTGGTTGCTATTGTATAGCGGGCTTTCATTCAATAAAAATTGCATGCGTTTTCGCACGTAGGCCACTCAGTTGTGATTCGGAATTCAGACGAGTCGGACGGTTAGTTACGGTATAGCCGGATGTACTATGTCTGATTGGAATGTATGCAAAATTCTACTAATGCCTCTTACATTTGCATACGCTATTGTTATAGTTCATGCTGTTATTGTTGTTGTCTTTCTTTGGCTTGGCTATAGGGCGGCCTCATCACACGAGCTTTATTTGTAGCGCAGAAACAAAATTACATGCTTACATATATATAACTGTAAATTATTACGTGAAAGTCCCACATTTAATAATAATTATTTGCTTTTATTACATTTCGTTGACAGATTTCTGACAAGAACTACACAACCAGCTCATATTTTGGCCATATGTATTCCATCATTTGTTTTGCTGACAATATGGCCCGATTTAATCTATGGCAGTGGAGGCGTCGGCGGTGGTGGTGTTACATCAAGGCAGTCCACTGATAACTCGGCCACCCATACAAACACTAAATATATGCACGATATATCCGAAGATGATTACAGCCCGACGTCGGGAACAACAACACATTACAAGTTGGCTTTGATTGCATATTTGGGAGCATTTGCAATACATTTTGGTTCACAAATTTGGATGACCTTTGTATCAGGTAAGAGGATAATTGATTTTTAATCTCAGCCTTAGAGATTTTTACTTGGCAAGTTATAGATAGCTAAAGCCTAGACCGAAAAATATTAAATAGACAACTTTTGACTATTTGAAAATACTGATTAGCTAAAATCAAATTCCCCGTAATATCATCTCAAGCCAAGGAGGATATATCAATTCTTGTCAATAATAGAGTTACCACCTCACATCTTTCTTAAAAAAATTCATGAATGTTTTATTTCGTGAAATTTCTCCGGACTTTTTAATAACTCAAAATACCATTTTACTTTTGGAGGACATTTTTGATAGAATAAAAACCATGCATGTATGAAAACTAATGCTCTGCTCAAGAACTGCAAGAATGTAAAAGCTTTTCCAACGATAACAGATTTCTCCTTTATGCAGGTTCTGGAATAGAGGATAAAGCTCGATCTAAAACCTTTGATCCCAAAATCGAATATATATTTAAAAAAATAGACTGATATTTTTATCACTTTCAAGTTTACCTGACTTTTAGACGTTTCAATACCAAAATTCGATTAATCGGAAGTCGACATTTGTATACCCTTTGGAGGGCGATACCAAATAGTGAAAATATCTATAATGAAGATTTTACATCAATGAGAGTTTATATAGAATGATAACCTGAAAAATATCGCAAAATCGATTTTGACAAATACTGCAAGGAGCATGCAAATATAATGCTGTCCTTTATACCATAACCACAATGAAATCTAGGAAAAAATAGAAACATAAAAAATTAGTAATCTCCATAAAAACGTACCTCTGTGATATGAAACAAGTAAAAAAGCTGTAAGTTTGGCCGGGACAAACTTTGAATATCCTCCACCATTTGGAACGAATTCGGCAATTTTCAAAAAAATAAAATCCGTTCAAAATTCTGTTGAAATCTTAAAAATACCAAATGTAGCCGTTATATTAGGGTCAATACAACGACGTGGACTTGCATAGACTATTTTCTGTCTTAGGCTGTAGTATCAATTGCGAACTTCAAATACCAAATTTGAAACAATTCTGTGAAAAATACCGAATAACTTGGACCATTTTCAATACCAAAAGTCCTGCAGACATAATATACATTTGAGTGAAATTTTATCAACTTACTTCATTTCGTTCGGAAGCAAGAGTGATTTCCACAGACGGACAGACGTATAGACGGACGGACGGATCGATATAAAATTTTATGCTGATCAAGAATATATATACTTTGTGGGGTCTAAAATGAATATTTTGAGGTGTTACAAATGGAATGACAAACTTAATATACCCTCCATACTATGGTGAATGAGTATTGATTTTTTTCCCTACATCCAATAATGCAGAATAAAAATCACAAAAAAAAAATAAAAATAGGTCAATTTTTCTATATTTACCATAATCCCTTATTTTCCATTTTATTAATAAATCATTTTTATTCTCCTAACTTCTTTCCAGGTCTTTCATTGTATTTCTCCCTACCTCGTCACATGTTCGGCCAGTGTCAACAAATTTTATTTCCCAAATATTTTGCAATGAACGGAGCATTGAGTATTCTAATGCTTATACTGTTCGCAAAGTTCTTTTTCGTGTCGTGGTCAGTGCCGCAATGTATACAATTGATTGCATTGGCGGTAACGGGAGCCATCGAAGTTATCGTGAGGCTTTACTTGGCACCCCCACTGCTCCAACTAATGCATGAAAAATATAAAATTGAAGGCACCGTTGGCAGTGGCAAGGAAATCGGACAATTGGTCCAGGGCGATTTGATCCAGTGTCCACACTATCAGCGAATACATAAAGCCTTTCGTCGCATCCATATGACGGTTGCCATTGGCAATCTAATCACAATGGTAGCAAGCTGTTTACATTTATATTACATAGCTGGTAAAATACAAATTACAATATAGAAAATGAATTAACAAATTTAGAAAATATAAAATAGTATTTAAATATGAACAGTAGCCCCATACATAGTTTTGCGCAATTGTAAAAAACCTATTTTAATTTCGATCCCATAATCCCTTTCCACAAAACATGCTTGGCTACATTTCGAACATACGAAAGAACAACAAAAAAATTGCGCCATATACCATTTATTTTATACCAAAACAGGAGAAAAGAAAACATTAAACAAATATTTTGCATTTCATATTCTCTCATAAGTATTTATTTTTTTAAGAAATATTTATTCCAGAAGAAGCAGCTGAAGTTTAGGTAGTTATAATTAGCCAAATTTTGTGTAATTGTCATGCACATCAATCAAATCATTGCAAAAAGCAACTTCAATATAAATCATTATAACAAATAATTAGAGTGGAATATTATTTAGATTATTTGAAATAGTATTGAATATCAAAAAGACTATGTGAAGGACCATATGGAAGTAGCATCTGGTGGCGTAATTTTACGTTTTATTGAAATTATTAAATATAAACTATGATATTTTTACCACATCTGAAAATATATTGTAAATTAAGTTCACAAACAACAACTTGAACATAATCTCAAAATCTAAAGCAGAATTGTAAGAAAATTCCACTGTTTTTGAAGCATTTATTCCACAAAAAAAACATTGTAGGTACATTTTAAGTCACAATATGATGTGTGATTATGATTGGATTCATGTTCCTTGATCTTCTCCATAGATTCTTAGTTTATTAGATTCCATAACAATTACACATACCCACTCATATTGTATGTTATTTATTTAATTGCTCATTTATTCATTGAAACGAAAAAAAAAAAAACAAAACAAAACGGTACATATTAGAATATCTGTGATAATACTTTTTCCCCCAAACTCATAATAATCAATGACTGGCAGAACGATCTAAAGTTTACCAACATTTTCCATTGAATGCCGAATTGATTTCGAATTAACATGTTTAAATTTAACTTTTGTAGACCAAAGCGAAAGAAAGAAATTGAAAAGTTAATTTTAAGTATTGAATTGAGTACAAAATCGGAATTCGGCACTTGATGTAAAGTGTTTTGTTATGTATTTTGAATATATGTTTATGTAAATTTTATATAAATCATTACTCTATTAGAAAAAGAGCCTGTTATTCCATCAAAAAACAAATTTTGTAAATAATACATATTATTTTTTAGAAAAAAAAATCAAATAGAATTAACAAATTGTAATAAATATACATAAATATTACATATCGAATTTTTGACTCGTTTTTGATTGAGATCATATTGAGAAAGGGGGAAATTTGTGGGAAAAGCTGGAAAAAGGTAAATTGAGCTCTCGAACCTAAAATTAAACCGAGCAAAGGATGATGTCTAGGAAGGAAACCTTCTGCAATATAAAACTAAATAAAGTACCCGAAATAGTCAGTTTTAAAAAATGTTATCATATCATACCCTACAAAATCTTGGATTTCTGAAAGATATTCTTTTAATCACTAAATAATAATACAAAGAAGGGCATATCAAATAAATAAGGGATAAATACAACACTGTATTGGAGCCTAGTTCTGACATACATACATATGTATATCTTAAAAACCCAATTACACATGATGTTTGAGTCATACGTAAAAGTGGCTTTTAATTTATTCGTAGCATTTTAAAGCATACTTTTAGATGCTCCCAAAAAAATTTTACTCCAAAAATAAACTATTTATAACATAGTATAAATTAATACAATTATAGAATAATATAAAAGTGTTATTTTTAAGTTTAAAATTGTTGGAACATCTGGTGTAATCAAACTTTAAGAGTATAAAAATTGTTTTGTTTATTTCGCTCTCTTGCCAATTTCATTATTATAACCAGTGGTTTGAATTATGGATACGTAATTTTTTAATCAATTTTGATTTGATGTGGCGTTTCCACTGCACCTGATTCGCTCTCTATTCGTTGTTTGACCCTTAACTATGAAAAAACTACCTAATTCTTCACACAAAATTTCCTGAGCGAACACTCATATTTGTACGTTGTTCAATTCAAATCACTCTCAGAACAACGAAAAAATATGTCCCATCCCTATAGCATTTATCGAAAAAATAAATTATGACATTTAAAATTAAAAATAGAAAAATTTAAAGAAAATTTAAAAATTTTTGGGAAGACTGAAAATTATGTATGAAAACTACAATGTTGAATGGCGTATGTACATTCAAACGAAAGTAAATTTTGTTTTCTCTCTCATTCGAAGTACGCATTTGGTCCACGAGATGAAATTTCCACAGAAAACTGCAAACAAAAGAGGCAATATTTTCAAAATGTTTCTATTGGCAGAAAAAATGTTTGACAAGTGTCTCTCCAGTAGAATTTAAAAATGGAAAAACACAAAAATATGTTCAAAATGTCAAGATTTACACAAAAAGTTGAAAACGTGAATGAAAATTATAAAATTATTGATATAATACATATTTGGGAGAAAAACAATCATTTCTTTTATTCATATTAGTGAGAATTTAATGTATTTTAGTATAAATTCCCATTAAAATCAAGAAACAAAATTTTTGAAAAAAGGAATTATTTTACTATGAATTACGAATCGTGCCGTATGAACGGGTTAATTCGTGTACCTAATTCTGAGAGTGAACAACGTTGTTCGGTTTCTAATGGAAACATGCTATGAAACGTCTAAAATCGAATTAAAAAGTAAAAAAAAATCGAAAATAAAAGAACTCAGCCTTTGGTAATCGGTTTTCGATTAAGAGATGATACATTTTTGGCTTGATTTTTATATCATTTTTATACCCTCAGCCATATGGTTATATATTATTTGATACGGGCAAAACGTGCCTCATCGAAATAACGGCTTTAGGCCGTATGTCTCTTTGGACCAAATCCGTTTCAGGACATTTGGAGACGATCTAGCGATCTCCGTCCGTCCGTCTGTCTGGCTGCATGATGCGCACGATAACGCTGAAGGGAGTATCCGATTTGATCAAAACTTGGTACATAGTAAAATTATTTCCAAACAAAGATCGAGTTTGGAGATGGGCAATATCAGTCCAATCATTCTGATACCTCCCCCACAAAATGTCAACATTTTCAAAGAAAATAATTTACTGCACAGAAAGAATATTCCGATTTTGATCTAACTATACAAATCCTAATATTTGCATCAGTGCTAGATCAGGTGCGAAAATGGAGTGGCAAGTAGCAAAGAAATGGTACGATCTGTACCATATTTATAACAGATCTTGTGTTGATGGGAATATTGAGATGTACCAAGTCTAGAATGGAATCGGATGTTGATTTCGCTTTTTATGAGCTTCATGGATATTCATTTTGAGCCTTTGTGGGGGAGGTACCAGAAGAAACGGTCCGATATATCCCACCTTCACAACAGATCTTGTGTTAGCAAAAATGTTTGTATGTGAGCATTATAAAAAGAAAATGATGCTTGTTTCGGATTTTATAAACGTTTTGGTTATTCAAAACTTTGACCCTTTGTGGGGGAGGTACCAAAAGGAATGGTCCGATATCTACCATTTTACAACAGATCCTGTGTTGATAGAAATATTGCGATGTGCCAAGTCTAAATAAAATCGGATGTTAATTTCGCGTTTTATGAGCTTAATGGATATTCAAAATGTTGACCCCTTGTGGGAGATGTACTTGATGGCGTGGACCGCAATTATCCATTTTTGCACCTGACCTAGAACTGACGTAAATATAAGCATTTGCAAAGTAAGAGCAAAATTGGATTATTGCCTTCCGTTCTGTGCAGAAAATAATTTTTTTTTGAAAATTTAGAAAATGTTGACTTTTGTGGGGGAGGTGTCAGAAGGAGTGGACCGATATACTCCATCTTAACCTTGGGCTAATAAAATTGTTGCTATGTGTGACAATTGAAGACAATCTGACTCTTATATCACCTTTTATAGGAGTTGTAATTATTCAAAATTTTGACCCTTTGTGGGGGAGGTACTTGATGGAGTGGACTGATATTGTCCATTTTCGCACTTGACCTAGCACTGACGCAAATATTAGGATTTGCAAAGTTGGAGCAAAATCGGATTATCCTTCCTCTTTCTGTGCAGAAAATATATTTTTTGGAAAATTTCGACCTTTTGGGCAAAATCGGATGCTCTCTTCGAGAGTTATAGTGCGCACCGGCCAGACAGGCAGACGGGCGGACATCGCTAGATCGACTCAAAATTACAAATGAAATTTTACGATTTACAACCAAAAAGTTTCGAATTACATCTGAAAAAGGTATATAGCTTGCTGCGTCCTGTACAAATAGCTGTATTCTTATAATAAATATATTTGAAAAAAAAAAAACTGCATTGACTTACCGCATCTATTTCTCGTTCAAAACGGACAGGCCGCAATCGACACAGCGCTATAATCAGGTATATGATGTTGATGCCAAAGAATAATGACGACCAGAGTACAACATCTTGGGCACAATCTATTAAATAGCCATACATCGCTAGCAGCACAGCTGCAACCACGAGCATTGAACGCAGCCATAGTATTCCGAATGGCCGGTGCGGAGCTAAAAATGCCAACAGCAAAAAGGCATTTCCCAGCTGAAAGTACATGTGGTGGGGTCTCTGCCATATTAGGCACTGTTCAATTGACCAGTCTCCCGGACTAGCTGAGCGTATTGTGGCATTGCTGTCCCATGAAACTGAACTACCGCCAGCGCCGCCGCCATTTGCTACCATTAGGCCACCGCCGTTTATATTCCCATTGCTTCCTATTGCCGCATTCATCGTCGGATGTAGGAATATCGAAACAGCCGAAGGTACACCATCGATCACAGCATTTCCATCACTGGCACCAACACTATTGCTAGACGCTGTACTGGAGGGTAAACTGTTAATGCCCAAATTGGAATTTGTTGATTCAACTAAACCCAAGGCCAGGGCGCCAATTAACAGCATTGCAATTACAAGCCGGAATGCTCTAAACTCTCTGCTGGGTACGTTGTGGGTGTGTGTGGTCTGGCTAAAGCTCGAAACTACTAGAAGACGATTTTAGTAGCCACAGATGAGGTCGTACCAATCGACCGTCTGTCGTTCGTTGGACTAGTTACTATGAGTTTTGAAATTGACGCTTCAACACTACGCCGTTGCACGCGAAATTGACCGTTGTTGCGAGTGTGTCGTTGAGGGCGAAACTGCTACTGTTGCTGTTGAACTGCTCGGCTTGCTCAATATTGTTCCTAAAGACGAGCAATTCTTGCCTTTCAAACATACTTGGTTGTTGCTCTCGTCATTCATCTGACTGCAACGAAGAAAATAATGGACCGTTTATATTCACTCATGATAATTCCTACGATTAGGGTTTATTTCGAAAATGTACCAGACATTTGTTTAGTCATCATTTCTCTCACTTTTCTTGTATTTAAAAATATGCGAATGGTTACAACAGAACAGTTTATATATAAATTCCACGGCAGTCACAATTAAACGATGTGTGTATGCATGTCCCGTCTTGAATACAGATTGTAATATTAGGCACATGTATCACCACAGAATCACTTTACCACATCATGGAGAGTCGAAATGGAAATTTCGTATATTTTTAAGAAGAAGTAGTAAAACCGATAACCAATCGTCCTTATCAGAAGAGAAGAAATAACGCGAATCCCCAAATATTTGAATCGCTACTAGAGTTAAACAAAAATAGTAGTATTTTTGGATTTACTGATATGAGCAGCTGGCGTTGATTGAATGAGTTTTTAAATTAATTTTATTGTTTTGTTTTTATCCAACGATATGAGGCTGTGTGCCCGGACAGCTGTTGATTAGTATAACTGGCTGGCAGTAAACTAAACTAGGAAAAAAAAAACAATGCCAATCAGCCAGCTCAAATTCGATAAACTCGAAGAAGAGAAATCTGTAGGTGTGTGTGAGAAGGCGTCGTCAAGAGGTCGTGATAAAAACATAACCCGAAAATATGTGGGAGTTCTAAGCCGGCAGTTGGCTAATATGAATATTTTGGTGAACCCACAACACACAAGTTAATTGTTGTAAATCGTTTATACTGATTTAAAACTCTGGTTATAAATATCAATAGCAGAGAGTGTAAATGGTTGTAAATACTTTGAGTGGAACAAATATTTACTTGCTTGGAATGTTATATGGATGGAAAATATTCAAAATTATCATAAGATATTTTGGTGCCAGGCATGATTTTTTCTCCGATATTATTGTTTCGATGATCTGGGAGATTATACGAAAACCAAGTAGATATCGCAGGTAAGGGTAAATAACATTGTACAACAAAGTTTTGAAAGTGTTCAAAATTTCTTTTGGGATGATAGACCTTAGTATGTCAAACCCCAATAGGAAATTATGACAATATGTCAAGATTCAGCGTTATGACATTCCACGAACACTCTCAAATCGATTGAACATATTTATGGACTCTTTCAAGGTAGGTCATAGAAATCAATTGATTTTGCATGTGTATATATTGTTTTAATTAAGGAACAACTTAGTTATATTAGGAACTCGATATCGTGAAAAATCACTCAAAGTTCGCGATTTGTGTACCCTCAGCCATATGGCTAGAGAGGGTATATTTTTTCATTTCATTTGATGCTGCCAAAACATGCCTCATGGAAATAACGGTCTCTTTAGACCAAATCCGTTTCAGGACATTTGGAGTTGATCTAACGATGTCCGTCCGTCTGACTGTCTGGCTGATGCTCACGATAACTCTCGAGAGGAGTATCCGATTTAATCCAAACTTGGTACATCGTAATATTATTGTCAAACTTAAATCGAGTTCGGAGATGGGCAATATCGGTCTACTGTTTTTGATACCTCCCACACAAAATGTCAACCTTTTTAAAGAAAAAAATTTACTGCACAGAAAGTGAAAAGATAGTCCGATTTTGCTCCAACTTTGCGAATCTTAATATTTTCATCAGTGCCATGCCAGGCCCAAAAATGGGCAATATCGGTCCACTCCATCAAGTACCTTCCCCACAAAGGGTCAACCTTTTGAATAATCATAACTTTTATAAAATGTGATACAAGTGTTCGATTGTCTCATATTACACACATCACAATATTTTTTTAACCCAAGGTTTGGTGTGAAGATGGAATATATCTGTCCACTCCTTCTGGTACCTCATGAATCATGCATGAAGCTCATTAAACACGAAATTAATATCCGATTCCATTCAGACTTGGCACATCTCAATATTTCAATCAACACAAGATCTGTTATAAAGATGGTAGAGATCGGACCATTCCTTCTGTTACCTTCCCCCAAAGGGTCGAAGTTTTGAATAACAAAAACGATGATAAAATCAGAAATAAGATGGTTTTCTGGTTTTACTAAAATTACACACATCACAATAGTTGTGTTAACCCAAGGTTTGGTGTGAAAATGGGATACATCGGTCCACTCTCCACACTCCATATTGAGTATTCATAAAGCTCATAAAACGCGAAATTAACATCCGATTCCATTCCGATTTGGCACATCTGAATATTTCCATCAACACAAGATCTGTTTTAAAGATGGTACAGATCGGTCCAATTCTTCTGGTACCTCCCCCATTTTTGAATACCAAATCGCTCAAATTTTACACATCCAAATATTTTTGCTAACGCAAGATCTGTTGTGAAAAAAATATATATTTGCCAACACCCCCTGGTACCTCACCCACTAAGGGTCAAAATTTCCAAATCTAATATATGTATTTTTATCAAAATTTATGATTTCGCAAAAAATTGGATTTAAATGTTCGATTTCCTTCAAATTTTGCACATATCAATATTTTTATCTGTATTAGATGAAGTATGAAAATGGAATACTTCGGTCCGCTAAATCTGTTACCTCACACATATTTTCACACTTTTGCAAAATGTGAACATATCTCATATAAAGTATAGGAAGTAGTCGATATAGTCCAAATCTGGCACGTTGTAATATTTTTATCAGTCTTTGGTCAAAAACGAATTGGCCAACTGCTTAGGAGCCTCCCCGTTAAGGGCAACAGTGTAAATAATCATAACTCAAGGCTTGATACTATTTTACTTGTTTCTTAGACAACTTAAACAAAACAAATTGTTGCATTTGTTATTATTAAATTTTAAGTTTTTCATATTTAATCACTCTGCCCTATGCTGCTCCACGCCTCTGTACTTACAAACAAGCAAATGAAAACATTCACACAGACGGACCCATGTTAAGTTAACATGTTACTGCTAATTTAGCAAATTAATAGAAATGTATGCAGACCGACCATTTATTTGCCCGCCAACAACAAAATTTATTGATGTCATAAAAAACCATGTTTGGTCAAACAACAAACAACTCATTTGACAATTCAGACGACGAGACAAACAGAATGCAGAATTGAAGACAGACAGTCAAGACATAGGTACGTTACTCGTTATGAACGAATAGAAGTGACAACTTGTAAAACGTGAAGGAACATAGTATTGTTTACACTGACGGTTATAAGTGTACGCTTTAATTCAACACAAACAATTTATGCAACTTCAGCTCTAATAAGATGGAGACTGTCCCAAAATTCCAAACGAATATTTCCTCAAGTTGTGGTAGTTTAATATAGGTTTTAAATATGTTGACGTTTTAAGTGGAGATACCGAAGGAATGTACCAATATTAAATACATCTGGGTTAACTCCTCTATTAAAATTAGCATCACGTGCCACGTTAATGCCATGTTTACGTTAGAACTTTTTGTAGGGTTAACCTTCTTTGAGAGGATTTATTTGAAGTAAAAGTAATGGATATGACAATTTAAATCCAAATCCAGTGGGTTAACCCTCATATATATAAACGTACTATAAGACTCTATTTACAACTTTTTCAATTTTATATGACATACAGGGTGAGATTATAAATGTTGTGGTGGTCATTCAATATTTTTATCTTTTTCGGTGGGAAAGGTACTAAATGAAATAGATCGAAATGGTCCATTTATGCACCTGACCTGGAACTGATACAAATATTAGGTTCTGTAAAATTTCCCACATAGATAAATGCGCCGGTGCTCGTGCTTTCCACCCTACTCCGCCTATATGAGCTTTTATAAAAGTTTAATGATCATCACAGGGGTTTTTTAGGCAGTTTTTTTTTATTCAAGAAGACAGCCGAAATGGTGAGAGAATTTAACAATAGCATTAGAGTACCTGTGACTACATATGTAGTTAGTCTGGTAACCCTTAAAGCTATCATGTTAGATGACATCGAATTGAGAGATAGCAAGTATACAGGGTGAGATGAAAAAACTGCAACCAACTTCAGACTGCTGTCATTTCTAAGCCACTCGTCCGAAAGCTGTTAAAACTATTCCAGTGACAGCTCGTTAGCTGAATATATCGCAATATTACATTCGGCAAATATTAAAAAATGAGCTCGGGGTAAAGCCATTGAAAATCCAAAAAACGCAACAGAAAAACATAGCTTGCTTTACTTGGCCGATAGTGTTGAACTGTCGAATTTGGTTTTCTCCGATGAGAAAACATTCGTTGTCCAGCAGTTTGTAAACAAACAAAATGATCGTGTTTACTTGACAAAGTGGTCAGCTGAAATTGTGCACCTTCGGTTGGCCACCAGAACTCAAGCGCCGGCCATGGTGATGGTGTGGGATAATACTAGAGAAAAATATCTATTGTTATATTTTCAAAATTAAATTAAATTAAAAATAGACATTCTAGAGACTATCGATAGATAGAGCTTCACATCCTCCTGTAGATAAACATTAAAGAATTGAACAAAACTTAAATGGGGATTTAATCTTCTATCTCTGGTGGCAACATTTTCTAAGGGACCACACTAATAAATTTGGTATGTCTCCCTGTTATTACTCCTTGTGACAATAAGAACATATCCATGCACATATTTACCCCATTGCCACCGTTTCAGGGACAATTCCCAAAATGAATCATACTTTTGGATTATTTGGTAACTTTTTGTTTTTACAGTCGCCATCCCTAGTGCAGACAGTGTACACACGTAGGTGGCATACTGGTTCAACACCATCCATGTCTACAACACAAGTTTTGTTTGCTTTTCATTTTTGGTTAGAGGTGAAGTCATCAGCCATGGTACAAACAATCAACAAACTACCCGCATACTTAGGGGGAGAGGAAACACATTTAAAGAATGTGGCAGTAACGTTGAAGATTGTTCTTTCATTCTTTTCGCACATGTAGGTATTTGGGATCTAGTATGCAAAATTGAAGGTCCTTGATTTTTAGGAAACCCTTACAATTTCCTATTACGAAATGTAGTTGTCAATAGAAATCAGCATGAATGCATCGGCTCGGGGTTAATGGTCGTCTAAGTATCAAAATTACTCATTAGAATTAAATTCTGATCCGATTAAATGCCATAAAGAGTTTCTTGTTAACAAAAAAAAATTAAAAAATGTCATAATTGGTGTTAAGAAAATGCTATGCGTGTGTGTGAGTGTTGGGTGGGAGGGCGAACATATGTTATTACCCCCGTACACTAGCCAAGATGTGATGTGTTCTGTTGTTGTAGTATTACATGCGCCCAACTTACGCTACTACGACGATGGCACTGGAGAAGCCTACTATACAGCCAGGGAGGGAATGAAATGAAATGACTTGACTGTAACAATAAACAACATATTTGTTTGCACTTTGGGGGTATTTTATCTCATTGTCATGGAGATGCGCGACGTCCACCGACCGAGGAGCAATAACAATGCAAATAATTATTATTTATTTTCATTTTTGTTTCACTACTTATTCCATGGACTACTCTCTTTCACATGGAGATTTCAATGATATTGAATCGATGACGCCAGTCGATGAGTGGTGTCTTAAATTGTGCTGAACCGAACTGTGAACTATGAAATGCTTCAAGTGGTGCATGCATCACATCTCTTCGCACATTCGTTCCATGGTATTTGGTTCTAGGAATCGCGTTTTTGGCACTAGTAGACTAGGGTGGGAGGGGAGGTTTTCTTTATCAATGTGAATTTTCACGCATTTTTCTTCCTTGAAATCGGTTTATTTTATTAACAAAAACACTATTAATTGAAGGTGCTGACAAACATGCACACATTGTTAAATTTGAGAGCAGCAGCGTATATATGTGTTTGTTATGTGTGTTATGTTTGAATAATTTAGTTTGAGAGACGTTTTTCGCCTGCTTTTGTACTATTCTTATTCTTGTTTGATTAATGATGCATTCAATTTTACTAACTCAAAAGTGTTGGCACACACAATTCCGTGTCGGCTTCATTTATAAAATCAACGAATTTTCTCCCAAAGTATTGAAAAATTCGAGTTAAATTCACACAACAATTCCCGATACCGATGAAAATGTTTGATTCCGTGAAGTTAAGGAGAAAAATTAATTCTACTCACTAGTACGAATCCGATAACACAAAAAAAACTCCAATGACAAAAAAGTCGATTTATTCGATAATCAAATAAGGGTATAAACAGTGTTATCACCGTGTAATCATTTCATGGTGATTAACAGAGATCCCGGACTATCGTTTGAGTGTGGCGCCGTTGAATTTTACAGGTTCGAGCTAAGTGTAGGTGCCGATAATATATATCGAACAATCAAGATAAAATTTTCTGCAACAATGTTCAGGAGGGAATTTCTATTTTAAAATTCAAAAATTTAAAATAAATCATGGAGTTAGAAAAGCTTTGTAAATTTACTGAAATACAGACCTAAAGCTATGTCCACTTCTTATCAAAACTGTTAGATGCAACAAGTTCTCATTTTTTTACATATTTCCTCATTTTTAAAAGAGCAAAATGCCAGGATTTTCTTCTTGAAAATATATGAAACAATTCTATATGTTTGAATTCCAACCATTTAAAAATAAAACAAGTAAAAAAGCTGTAAGTTCCGTCGGGCCGAACTTAAAATATCCTCCACCATTTAGAACGAATTTGGCATTTCTCAAAAACAATAAAATCTTAAAATCATAAAAATACCGAATGTAACAGTTATATTAGGGTATATACGACGACATGGACCTGCATAGGTAACTTTTGTCATAAGCCATTGCATTATTAAAATGCGAAACTTAAACAAATCGGTGAATAATGTAGCTAAAATCATCAAAATACCGAATGTCGGGAGGTACCGTTATATGGGGGCTACACGAAGACGTGGACCTGCACAGATAATTTTCTGTCTTAAGCTGTAAAATTCATTACGAAATTCAAATACCAAATTTGAAACGATTCCGGTTAATAATGTCGCTAAAATCATCAAAATACCGAATATCGGGAGGTACCGTTTATGGGGGCTATACGAAGATGTGGACCTGTACAGACAATTTTCCGTCATAGGCTGAAATATCCATTACGAATTTCAAATACCAAGTTTGAATCAAATACCAAGTTTAGTCAATTCAAAATACCGAATATCAGGAGGTACCGTTATATGGGGGCTATACGAAGACGTGGATCTGCATAGACAATTCTCTGTCACAGACAATTTTCTGTCAAATTTGAAACAATTTCGGTGAATAATGTCGATAAAATCATCAAAATATCGAATATCGGAAGGTACAGTTACATGGGGGCTATACAAAGACGTGGACCTACATGGCTCATTTTCAATACCAAAAGTCCTGCAGACATAATACACATTTGAGTAAAATTTTATCAACCTACTTAATTTCGTTTGGAAGCTAGAGTGATTGCCACAGACGGACATCGCTAAATCGACATAGAATTTCATGCTGATCAAGAATATATATACTTTGTGGGGTCTAAAATGTATATTTCGAGTTGTTACAAACGGAATGACAAACTTAATATACCCTCCATACTATGGTGGAGGGTATAAAAACAGTATGTATGTTTTAATAAGATTACCTAAAGAGAAAATTGTTTCAGGCGACTGCTATGCCCTAACTTGGAAATTATGGTATAATGGTAACAAGTACTGACCCAAATGATGATATTAAGTTCTTGCTGGGAATCCGTCTTAGAAAAGTTGATGTTGATCTCTTAGGTGTTAATACTCAAATCAAAATCCACTGCCAACCAATACTCCATTATAAGGTGGCTTAATGATCTACGACTTCACCCCCCACACACACAATTATACACACAATCATAAGGACCTCTTGAAATGTACATATCCTGTTGCTATGTAAACAGGTGTATGTATGTATGGCGACCGAACATTGTTTACACCCACACCACACCGACGAGGTGAGTGGACGTTGGTATCCATTTGTCGTTGGTATAGAAATACAAATAACACAAGCTATCCTTAAGGAAAATTACAACAAATCAATTGATTTTGATTTTTAGTTATCACTGCCATTGCAATCAGTCCATACTGTCAGAAATATTTATTTTAAAATTGTTTTTTTTTACAAAACCGTGTTAAGTAGTAACAAAAATAAATAAAAACCAATTCCTAAATCAATAAAAATATAAGGATAACCACACCACCACTTACTCCATCATTCTTGGACTATATGTGAAAGACCATAATTGATATATGTATGTATGTTTATCCGTGTGTGTGTGTGTGTGCATTTTATAAATTATAAGAGGCCTAATTGCTGCATCCTTCAAGCATGATTGATGAACTTGAATCTATGGGTATGCGAACAAGTACGTGATGGTACAATTATTGAATATTTGGTCTTTTAACTAAATTGACAATGCCAATTCACTTTCAGCTAACGTCCTCTGAAGGCAACAATCCTCAAAAACCGGTCATATATGGAGCATTCGAATTCATTCAATTGTATCGATTAAACAAAGATACAACTGAGCTTGTCTCACGTGCAGACAAGTTGCATTATTATCAGGATACGAAATAATTGCATGCATAAAACGTATTCAACACTTTCATTCATCACTCGGTGTCGCGCTGCACAGCTATATCGTTAAAGGAAAATACACACATCATAGTGATTACAAACCCTTGCAGTATCATAGAATCGAGCGCGCCACCATGACAACGAAATCAAAATCTCAGGAAAAACATAAAATGTCCGAAATAGATGAAAATATTTCAAAATTGTTTGATATTAAAAAGGTATGTGGATTTTTGAGGAGTATTCAAGTTGGTTGTTTTTTTTTTTTAAATAAATGCAAAGAATCAGTGCGATTGGGGTGGTATGCTGGAATGATTGATTATTTTAGGGATGAATTTAAAACATTTGTTTAACCAATTTTTTTTTTTAACATATTCCCTGACATCCATCTAAATTGCATTTGCAACCTGTTAGCGTTTGGGCAAAGGGGCATATGGCATCGTTTGGAAGGCTTTGGATAAACGCAACAATGAAACGGTGGCGGTTAAAAAGATTTTTGATGCCTTTCGTGATGAAACAGATGCCCAGCGCACCTTTCGCGAAATTGTGTTCCTAAAAGCCCTTCGTCATCATCCAAACATTGTCAAGTTGCACAACGTTTACAAGTAAGAAAAGCTTCAATGTTCTTAAAAAAATAAACCAAAAATACATTTTATCATCACAACAGGGCTCAAAATAATCTGGACATCTATCTTATATTTGAATATATGGAAAGTGACCTCCACAATATAATTAAGAAGGGAACCATACTCAAGGATATACATAAACGTTATATAATGTATCAATTGATAAATGCCATTAAATACATACATTCGGGAAATGTCATACACCGCGATTTAAAGCCTAGCAACGTTTTGATCGACAGCAAATGCAGGTGAGTGAAACCATCGCCAATTGGAAAGAGGTATTTAATTCGTTTTTATTCATATATATAGATGTAAATTGGCCGATTTTGGACTAGCCCGCTCTGTATCAAATGTACGAATGCGTGTCGATTCCAATGATCTGAACGGTGAATTATCTATGGAGCCAATTTTAACAGACTACGTGGCTACACGTTGGTATAGGGCTCCGGAAATTTTAATTGCAAGCAAAAGGTATGTATGTCATATGAAAATATGAGTACAAATATAAATGGGGCAATTCAAATTGTATCCAACTGAAAACTAAAGCTAAAGCGTTAAATGGGGAGTATATCAAAATACGAAAACTCAGCCCGATCGGCTGGAAAATTAAACTAGCATCTTTAAAACACATCGATTTTTTGGTGGTAGCCTGATAAAGAGTGAGTTATTTTCAGGACTAGGTTCTAATAAGATTCTATATTAAAAGTAGGGCAAAAGTTTAGCGGTCCCAACAGAGCTTCCCATAAGAAATATACGTTCATATTGGGAGAAAATATACGTTAATATACTTACAACATACATTACAGGTACACAAAAGGCATCGATATGTGGAGCTTGGGATGCATACTAGGCGAAATGATACGTGGCAAGCCACTCTTCCAAGGGAGCAGTACCGTAAACCAGGTAGAGTATTATACGAAAATATGACATCAAAATATTAACTTTTTTTTACGAAATTTAGATTGAAAAAATCGTATCCACCCTACCGGATATAACGGAAGATGACATAAAAGCAGTTGGTGCAGGATTTGGCTCGGTATTGCTAAAGAAGCACATATCGAAGGATAAGTAATATGACTTTGAAAACTAACACCCCTAAAGGCAAGTAAATTGAATTTTTTCTCCTTTAAGGAAGACGACTTTTAGTGATTTACTTAATGATGCATCAAAAGATGCTTTAGATTTGGTGAGGTCATTATTGGTTCTGGACCCCCTGGGCAGGTTGACGGCAAAACAGGCCTTATGCCATCCATATGTGGAAAAGTAAGTGGTTATTGTTTCAATAAAAAGAAAAGCTTATGTTCGCCTTCTTTCACAGGTTTCGTAATTCAATACCAGAAATGGAACTCGATGTTGATATTATACCTCCATTTCGTGATGATATACGCTTGAGTGTTCCTGAGTATAGGTCAAAACTATATGAAATTGCACAAATACCTGGTGAAAAGAGGCAAGTGGTGGATAACCAAACGAAGCAATATGCGAATGGGTGCATATAAAAGAAAATTAGTTACTTTTTTTAAATTATCTATTTTTTGTTTGCTCTGGTATTTGCGTTTTATTTGCATACTAATTTAGTTTTTATGCCCACAGATCAGAAAACAAAACAACCCAAAGTAGTGCCCATGACAAGTCAGATATGAAAAAAGTATCAAAGCAAAAACATGTCAATGGTAAAAAGATCACTTCCGATGATAAGCATAGAATAGGAGCAACAGAAAAGGACATGCCAAACCAAGACGAAATCTCTAGACCAACACCTGCATCCTCAACTCCGTCATTGGTGAAACGAAAATTCAATAAAAGTACAAACAATATATCTGCTGCATCCGAAGCAGAGAACCACAAAACCTCATTGGACGACCGACAGCGTAATAAATCCCAGGCAAACTTACTGCATAGGCCCACAACCAATAATGGGGGCATTCCCAGAAACTCAACAAACCTTAAAGTTCCTAACAACAATTCTTACAAGCTCTATCGTAGTTCTTCATCGCTTAATAAAGTAGAGAGCAACAAGTCTGCGGAGTATAAATCCTACAGCACAGTATCGATGACGACTTCCTCACCCCTACTTAATGAGGGCAGATCTGAGACTTGTAATGCAACCAAATCGCCGGCCAGTGCAAAAACCCAAGAAAGAATTTGCTATGAGAGACGTTTGCAAAAACTTGAAGATGAAATACGACGTTACAAGAATGAAGTAAAATCTTTTTGTCGCGACACCTTTAACTATTCTAAACAAAACCGTGGTCCGAAAACCAGTGAAACGCAGCTCATTCCAGTCAAGCAGGAGCCGGAAAAGGATGCACGAAATTACCATAAACATAATCAGACAAGGAAACCTAATTCAAATCTCCAATCATCGGCAAATACACCCATCAAAAGTACCTATTTTCAATTATTAACAAAGGGAAAACACAATGACACCCATCAACTGCTGTCGGGTGGAAGAGGAGACCAATTCATTCCGATCGATAACTTTTCAAAATCGCACTTGGTCGTCGTTCCCAACAAAGATCTGAGAAAATATGAAACCAACAACCACACCATGGGGAATGGTGATCAGATCAGACGTGAACAGCAGGAGTACCATATGTTGCACAAACAAACCAAGCGTTCCATATCGAAATTCATTTAACGTTTCAATGTTCAATATTTTATTTGTCTAGTCAATTGTCATTATCCATGACCCCATATACAACTGCCCACATACTATTTTTGTACAATAAAAATTATACATATTTATACAATTAATGAGAATACTGTAACGGTTATATACAGACAGGCATGCATATATATATTTTGATGTCATAAATATAGAAAATACATACATACATACATGTATATGAAAAGCAATAATAATCAAGAGTGTTTTAAAATTGGAGTGGGCATTTCGATTTATATGTATACAATAGTCAGTCCACATTTTTTAAAATATGTGCTTGTACAAAAACCTAAATTATCTATATATATATATATATAAAAGGAAGTTGTGTTAGTTACTACGCTTATAACTTAAGAACCGCTGGACAGATTTTAACGATTCAAACAAATTCGGAATTGTCTCTTTTCCGAAAAGGATAATATCCAAAAAAATCGCGTAAAAATGTGATATATTAACATTTTCATTTTGACTTTTGAATTGTACAATAGTAATGTTTTATTTTGCATGATTTTTTTCCATTTTGACTTACTTTTTTCTAATGTACATTTGTAGTGTTTTTTATATTTTATTTTTGAATTCGAATATTAATACCAATTTATTTAATTGACTTGATTTCTTGAGAACTGAAATTGATGGCGGGTTACATGGAAGTGTAGTACCGAATTATGCGGTGGCGAAACGGAATAGAGGATATCGAAATAATTAAACGCGGTCACACCAAAGTTAAAAGATAATTACTTTTTCAAAATCGCCAAAAACTCACGAAAAAGAAATCTCATTGCACAAATTCTGAAATCGGGAAAAAATCGAAAAAAAAATTTTTTTTCAATGGAATCGATTTTTAAAATAATAGTACATTCTATTGACAAACTTTGTAAGGACCTTTAAACATTTGCTGTAAAAAATCGGCTAACAAGTTGAATATTTTTACAATTTGTTATTCTTTTTTTGTCAATTTTTTTTTTTTCAATTTGCATTATTGTTATATATCCCGGTCTGCTAGTAAAACAACTGTTGCCTTCAGGTAACTCATAACAACTGAGTCAAGGTAGATCTAACAGGTAACCGCATCGGCGAATTGCTACAACAAAGCAACTTTTGTGGTCCCCTCAAATGTCAAAATTGGCATCTAAGGCGAAAAACATAGATTCGCCATGACATTTAAAAGTTGCGGCAAATTTGTTTCAACCAATCAGAAACGAGGTGTTTGTTTACATTTTATTTTGTGTCCCTCTCGTCGTAAACGAACGTCGCAATAAAAGTTTTTATTGTAAAACAAATAAGAGTAAAATAAGTATTAATTGTAGTATTGCGATTTTTTTAAACAAAGAAACTTATAATGACTATATTTTACTGGTTTAAACCGAAAGTTTTCCGGAACTGCAAATGACAAGAGTCTAATTCTTGCACTACTTCCCGTGATGTGCTTTGGGAATCTTAGATGTTGAGGCTAACTTAATTCTTAAAGCTGCACTCCATTCTAACCTCCTTCCTTCATGTTCTTTTAATTTTTTACTGGTTTCACTCTTAACTTACTCTTAAATTATTTGAAATATTATAAAAAGGTACTTTTAGGGAAGACAACATAAACAAATTTGTTGTTGCATTCATTTAGGGCGAATTCTTCATTACAACAATTCGTTTTGACATTTAATGGTGCCGTCAGCTGGGCTGATGCGATTACCTAGTACATCTACCTTGAACTGAGTGATGGTGTTTATTACATATGCTTACATCGATAGTAGTTTAGTAGTTACTGAATACGTAACGTATACAACACCTCTCCCCTCTCTTATAACAAAAATAATAAAATGAATTCAATAAAATACTATTAGCTAAAAACTCCGAACACTAATACCTTTCAATCCGTATCGATAACATAATCATTTAGTCGATGAGGTCGCCGTATATTCCTCCTAGGATTCGTTCTTATGTTGACTGCCTCGCCATTCCCTGCTGGCTCTTCAAATCCGATGAATGCTGACCCCGGAGAACTTGGGGGCGTTGCGAAGGACTGATCTCGATTGTCTGACATCACGCATTCGTCTGTTGCTTCTCGTTCCGCATTACTCATACTTGTAGGGTTCTCTCTCTTCTCCAAAGTCCAATCTGATGGCTCATAACTAGCACTATGTGTTTCCTCAACTTCGTTATCCAGCATTACTCTGCCATTAATCTTTCTCAATTGATCAATGTGTCTGTTCCAACACCTACCATCTTCCAGCCTCACTTTGTAATGCAAATCACCAATTCTCTCTCTTACTATTCCAGGCTTCCACTTAAGCTTATCCATATAATCCCGAGCCATTACAGCGTCTCCTACTGCTAACTCTCTTGTAGTTTTTTGTCTTACGGGGTCTCGGACTTCATTGTTGGGCAGTAGGAGGTCCAATCTGCTTTGTATTTGTCGCCCAAACATTGTCATAGCTGGTGATTTATTCGTGACCGGGTGAATTGCTCGTCGATATGCCAATAAAATTTGATCAATTTTTCGCTGTAACTCCTCCTTACGAGGCATTGCCTTCAACTTGGTCTTGAAAGTTTGTATAAAACGTTCTGCTTGACCATTCGTTGCAGGGTGGTACGGTGCCCCCAACTTATGCATGATACCATTTTGTTTTAAAAACTCTTGAAATTTCGCGCTTTTGAACTGCGTCCCGTGGTCGCTGACTAGAATGTTTGGTATTCCAAATTGCGCAAATATACTTCTACATACTTCGATTGTTGTCTCCGTGGTAATGTCTCGAACTATCCTTACCTCCGGCCATTTACTAAAAGCATCCACCAGTACAAAAAAATATTTGCCCAAAAAGGGACCAGCGTAATCCACATGCACCCTTTCGAAAACTTTCTTCGGAGGTAACCAGCAATGAACCGGTTCTTTCTTTACATCTGGTCGCCCGATCTGGCATTCATAACAGTCAGCAACCGCTTTTTCAATGTCCTTATCTAAATTTTTCCACCAACAATACGCTCTGGCAAGTGACTTCATTTTTGATACACCAAAATGTCCCGAATGTAATTCTTGTATTATTCTAGTTCTCAGCGGTTTTGGCACATACACTCTTATGCCTCTTAATAAGCATCCTTGTTGCAAGCTAAATTCGGATGGGTCGATTCCAAAACTGTCGGCAGGATCACACTTCCGGCCATATGACAAACTGTCTACTAAACGTCTTACTTCCGCATCTTTTTTTGTGGCTTGTCCTAATTCCTTGACGGTGATTGGCAAATTCTCAATTAATTCCATTTCAATTTGATCAATCTCGCTGATTGTTTTGCTGCATTCATTTACAGGAAGCCTCGATAGCGCATCTGCATTCCCATTCTCCTTAGATTTACGCAAACGAATCTTGTAATCAAAAGATTCCAGGAATACTGCGTAATGTTGCATACGCGTTGCAGACAATACCGGTAATCCCTTGTCAGGCGCAAAAATCTGTGATATTGCTTTATTGTCGGTAATTAAAGTAAATTCCCTTCCATATACATATTGGAAAAACTTTTTTACCCCGAATATTACTGCGTATGCCTCCTTGTCTACTTGGCTATACCGTCTCTGTGTTGCATTTAAAGTTTGCGATGCAAACTGTATAGGTCTTTCCGTTCCATCGCCAAATTCGTGACTCAATACGGCTCCCACACCCGTAGGGCTCGCATCCACTGCCAATGTTAATTTTTTTCTTGGATCATAATGTGTCAGCACCACCTCTGATCCCACTTGTCTCTTTACTTCTTCGAAAGCCCATTTACATTTAGCATCAAAATTAAATGGAACTTCTTTGTGCAGTAATCGATTTAGAGGGTAAACTATAGAGCTCAAATTTTTTATAAAACGACCATAATAATTCACTAGTCCCAAAAATGATCGAACTTCGTCCTTGGTTGCCGGATATCTCATTTCTTGAATAGCCTTAATCTTGGCTGGTATCTTACGAATTCCTTGTCGATCAATCACATAACCACAATACTCAATACTCTCTCGCAGAAATTCCGACTTAGCAAGATTTATTCGCATATTGTATCGGTCTAATCTTTTTAACACCTCTTCTAACCGGTCTAAGTGTGTCCTCTCATCCTTGGCTGTTATTTTAATGTCATCCAGGAACACCTTAACACCCGGTATATCCGCTAATAACTGCTCCATTAATCTTTGCCACTGAGACGGGGCGCCAAACATTAATCTTGTTGGTTGAAATAATCCTTTGTGTGTGCTCAGGGTTAAGAACTTTTGGTCATCTGGATGTACTTCTAACTGCAGATATGCCTTGGACAAGTCAATCTTCGAATATTTTTCACCGCCTGCCATTGTACTAAACAATTCGTCGACTGTAGGCAATGGGTGCTTGTCCACCACTAAGACCGGATTGATCGTTATCTTGTAGTCTCCACAAATTCGTATCTTGTCATCTTTCTTTCTGACCACCACGATTGGTGTAGCCCACTCGCTACGTTCCACTTTTTCCAATAATCCAGCTTTTACTTGGTCATCTAATTCATCTTCCACTCTCTGCAACAGTGGAAAAGGTACTCGTCGCGCCTTCATACATTTCGGGACAGCATCGGTTTTAATATTCAAACGCGCCTGAAACCCCCTAATTTTGCCCACTGACTTCGAAAATAAATTTGGATATTTCTCCAAGATACTCCTTAACTGACCTTCCAAATTCGCCGACTCCTGAATTTTGTTTACGCTTACCGATGACACACTCTTTCCTTTTAACATCTTCAGCCAGTCCAATTTAACTAACCGCAGCCACTCTCTTCCCAGCAATGGTTTCCGATTGGCCCGTACTAAATACATTTTGACTTTTGTTATGTCTTTGGCTCTTACTTTCACCCATATGTATCCCGCGCAATCTATAGGCGTCTTGCAATAACTATAGAGTTCCAAATCTGGTTCATGAATTCGTATTTTCTTCGAAAAATATTTGTACGCATCGGCAAGACTTATGATGGTGACCGGCGCTCCCGTGTCAACTTCAAATGTGATATTACGATCATTTACTTCCAATGTACATAGAATTTTATCCCGTATGC